CGTATGTAGTGGAATATGCCAAAAGTGGGAGAGCCTCTTGTAAAGGATGCAAATGTTCGATTCCCAAAAATAGCCTTCGCATCGCTGTTATGGTTCAAGTAAGTTTCTATAGTGGCAGGCATATCTCAGCGTAATCAAGTAAGATTAAAAACAAACTCTACTGAATTTACGCGGTCTTTTAGTTAAAATTTGTTTGATCTCCGTATTGGCACAACCATATCTACACAAACATGCATACCCATGAAATATACTTTTACAGTGGACCAAAAAGTTTAAGTACACTTCATACCTCAGTGCTTTTTGTAAAAAATATGTATTGAGACTTATCAAAATAATAATAATTAATAAACGTAATCTTTAGGATTTCGAATATACCAATATATATACTACGTCACTCCTTCGTGAACATTATATTCACAGAAATAAAAAAAAAATGGCTAAAAACCCCATCGAAAAAAGTTTACGTACACTCGTCATCTCTCTGTTTTTTTGGAATTTCCCTTCCAAATCTAACGGTGTTCGTGAATTCTTCCTTCAGTCTACTTCTGATGCTTCCATTTTTATCCATTTTAAGTTCATTTAATTTGATTTTGCTGGAGTTGAGAGGTCAAGATGGGTCGAGGAAGCTAAATTCCACTTGAAACGCTTAAATTTATTTGAAAACATTATTTGGAAGGAAAAGAACTCGTGCTATTGGCAGGATTCTTTAGAGACCTCCATCCAGCGTGTAAACTAATATTAATTCCTACGGGAACTCTGGAACCTTCAAAGTAAAGCCAAGATTAGGTCGTCCCAAAAATTGACCGATAGGTGTGAACGCCAAATCCTGGGCTCAGTAAATGCCAATCCTAAAAATTCAGCCCCAAAAATACAAAATGCAAAACAGTTCAGCCTCAAACTGTACGAAATGTGCTCCACAAGGAGGGGTACAACACTCGAACACCTCGTAGAAAGGCTTTGATTTCCTTGGTAAATCGAAAAAAGAGGCTGGATTTCGCATACAAATATGTAAACGAGCTGGAATCATTTTGGGACATCGTTATCTGGAGTGGTGAGTCAAAATGTAATATTTTTGGTTCAGATGGCTCCCAAAAAATAAGGATGAAGTTTAAAAAATTAACACCAAACGTTAAGCGTGGCGGCGGTAACGTGATGGTCTGGGGGTGTGTTGGGACAGCTGGAGTTGGGAAACTTGTGTTTATAAACACTACAATGGACAAGCATCTATACCTCAAAATTTTAAAGGATAACCTTAAGGACAGCGCGACCCAGCTCCAGTTGAATGAGACTACATTTCTTTTTCAACAGGACAACGACCCTAAACACACCTCCTATTTGGTCAACGAGTGGCTACTCTACAACTGCAAGCAATTGCATACACCTCCACAGTCTCCAGATCTCAATTCCATTGAGCACGTTTGTAATTTGTTAGATAAAACGCTCAGAAAACACCAAATATAGTCAAAAGAATGGGAAAAAATTGAAAAAAAGGTGTACTTAAACTTTGTATACCACACCTCCTATTTGGTCAACGTATTGGCTACTCTACAACTGCAAGCAATTGCATACACCTCCACAGTCTCCAGATCTCAATTCCATACTTAAACTTTGTATACCTTTGCAGAAAGTATTATGATTTCAGTCAAAAGTTTGCAACGCAGTGAAGGAGACATTGCCGACCCTATAAAGTATATATATTCTTGATCAGCATCACCAGGAGAGTCGATCTGGCCATATCCGTCTGTCTGTCCGTTTCTTCGCAAACTAGTCCCTCAGTTTTAAAGCTATCTGCTTAAAACTTTCCCAAAAGTTGTCTTTCTATTGCAGGTATTATATAAGTCGGAAAAGCCGGGCGACTATATCATATAGCTCCCTTAGGAACAATCGGAAAAAAAAATCAAACAAAATTAGAACTTTGTTGTTTTTATACCCTTGCAGAGGGTATTATAATTTTGGTCAAAAGTGTGCAACGCAGTGAAGGAGACATCTCCGACCCTATAAAGTATATATATTCTTGATCAGGATCACCTCCTGAGTTGATATAGCCATGTCCGTCTGTCCGTCTGTCCGTCTGTCTGTTTCTACGCAAACTAGTCTCTCAGTTTTAAAGCTATCGGATTGAAACTTTGCACACACCCTTCTTTCCTTTGCACGCAGTATATAAGTCGGAACGGCCGGGATCGGCCGACTATATCCTATAGCTGCCATATAACTGATTGATCGGAAATGCCATAACTTTCGTGTTTGTAAAGTTAGGAAGTTGGGATTTTCTATGGGTTTTATATTTGGCCAATCAATCCGACCTACCAAATTTCATAAGGATCGGCCGACTATATCCTATAGCTGCCATATAACTGATTGATCGGAAATGCCATAACTTTGGTGTTTGTAAAGTTAGAAAGTTGGGATTTTCTATGGGTTTTATATTTGGCCAATCAATCCGACCTACCAAATTTCATAAGGATCGGCCGACTATATCCTATAGCTGCCATATAACTGATTGATCGGAAATGCCATAACTTTGGTGTTTGTAAAGTTAGAAAGTTGGGATTTTCTATGGGTTTTATATTTGGCCAATCAATCCGACCCACCAAATTTCATAAGGATCGGCCGACTATATCCTATAGCTGCCATATAACTAATTGATCGGAAATGCCATAACTTTGGTGTTTGTTAAGTTAGGAAGTTGGGATTTTCTATGGATTTTATTTTTGGCCAATCCATCCGACCTACCAAATTTCATAAGGATCGGCCGACTATATCCTATAGCTGCCATATAACTGATTGATCGGAAATGCCATAACTTTGGTGTTTGTAAAGTTAGGAAGTTGGGATTTTCTATGGATTTTATTTTTGGCCAATCAATCCGACCTACCAAATTTCATAAGGATCGGCCGACTATATCCTATAGCTGCCATATAACTGAACGATTGGAAATGCCATAACTTTGTTGTTGTTAAAGTTAGGAAGTTCGGATTTTTTATGAGTATTAAGAATGCATCATATGAATAATTTTGGAGAATATAATTTACAGAGTATTCTGCAAGGGTATATCAACTTCGGCTCCGCCCGAAGTTAGCTTTCCTTTCTTGTTAATTTTTTTTTTGTTATTTGGGATTTGGTAATATTTAAATATTATGAAATGATGGTTTTAATTATGTTAAAATGGACAACAATATCATATAGCTGCACTAGAACGGATGTCAAAATGCAGAGCAAAATCGACATATTGTTTTTGGTAATATGGGCTTAAAAATCGAAAAGTAGTCGATTTGTAATAACTGCAAGGGTATATAAACTTTGGCTTGCAGAAGTTTGCTTCCTTTTTTGTTTGAAGTATTTTTACGATTTGTTTTTATAATCTTGTTATTTTATATAAAATATGGAAACAAGAAGACTTTTATGTTCTAAAAATATATAACCTACCAAACGGAAATAATTTGAAAATTGTACCTGTTTTAGTTAATATCGTTTTGAGTGCTTTAAGTTGCACAACTATGGTGTACTTAAACGCTTTTTGTCCACTGTATGTACATATGGATCACAACTTACTCGGTATCAAGTTGTTATCAATTTTAAATTTAATTTGCCGATGGTATCAACAAATCTTAGAAGCAGGTACAGTGGCTTACAGTTTATTTCATGCAGATATTTATGTATGCATATACTTAAATACATTTTAAAGTGTGAATGTTTTGTAGTCCTATATGTCCTATAGTCCTAAAAATACTTGTTTTTGTACATAGAAATTGCACAATTTTATTGCTGTAAATAACATTTAAAGACTGCTACCCAGATTGATGAAATCTGTTCGGCAGCTATGAGAGAGCGAGAGGCAAACAGCTGGCGATCACATTTCGTCAGTCCTTTTGTGCTCCTCGTTACCCATACAGCCTAGTATCCAGATCGACAAAAACCGTACGCCAGTCATGAGAGAGAGCGAGAGGCAAACAGCTGGCTTTTACTTTTCGTCGGGCCTTTTTGTCAAAAATACCAGAAAATTGCATAGCGTTGCCAGTCTGCGGAAATGAACTTTGGGTGAACCCTAGCGAAAAGATTAAAAAATTTAATCTTTTGGCGTGCGCTTCTCACTGACCATTATAAGATATGGAGAGAAAAACTCAAAAAAACTGGGAAAAGTCGATTGCAGGAGTTTACATGTGAGGACAAAATAACATTAATACTATCTGGGGTGCCTCTTGTCAGATCAAAATGTTTTTTAGGTCAAGAATGTACGAAAAAACACAATAAAAGTGCAGCTATGAACTTTAAATTAGCATATAATTATCAGTAAATTAAAAAAAACAACTTTTAAATTTAAATTGTTTTGTTTTTTAATTTCTTTTGTACAGCGGCAGACTTGTCTTGCCAAGGTATTTGATAATATTTTTTAAAGGCTCCTTCCCGCAAATACGATATTTGAATTTTAACTGCTTGTCAAGAAACCCAGCTGATTGACAGTACGACCGTTGCACGCTTAAATCTGATGATCTCTCGAAATTTTGGTAACACTGGAAAGATTAAAGTTTTTACGCTAGCATACTCGTTTGTCGATCTGAGTACTAGGCTAAAGACCAATGTGGACAGGATAATCGTTAGTTGACTCGATAGGCAAATAGGGGGCAGTGTGTAGAGCACATTAATAGATTCTAACTCGATGGTCCAGCTGAGGATAACTTATATTTCCTAGAAAGATTTTCAAGTTTTCTCCGTAAACCTTTCCAGGAAAAGGTTTAATCTAGCTTTTCTATGTTCTTGGCCATTATATTTATTTTTAAAAGTAGTTATATAAAGTTGTACAAGACTGTGTGAAATAGCTTAAGACAAAAACTTTGTCATTAACGGTAGAAGGTAATTGTTTCTATTTCTAACTTTATTATGTTCAATTATATACAGTTTTCAGCTCTCTAGTATATACTTCATGATTGGGTATTATGTGAATCTACTGACAGCAAGCAATAATATCGTACTGCAGTGGAAAATATCCTTAATGAGAATCGATTCAAAAACTTAATTTTAATCGATAGGAGGCTGCTTTCCTTAACTATTTTAACAATATACAAAGTTTGAATATTATTATGGACATTGAATTGCCGTATGTAGTGGAATATGCCAAAAGTGGGAGAGCCTCTTGTAAAGGATGCAAATGTTCGATTCCCAAAAATAGCCTTCGCATCGCTGTTATGGTTCAAGTAAGTTTCTATAGTGGCAGGCATATCTCAGCGTAATCAAGTAAGATTAAAAACAAACTCTACTGAATTTACGCGGGCTTTTAGTTAAAATTTGTTTGATCTCCGTATTGGCACAACCATATCTACACAAACATGCATACCCATGAAATATACTTTTACAGTGGACCAAAAAGTTTAAGTACTTTTTAAGTGCTTTTTGTAAAAAATATGTATTGAGACTTATCAAAATAATAATAATTAATAAACTTAATCTTTAGGATTTCGAATATACAATTATATATACTACGTCACTCCTTCGTGAACATTATATTCACAGAAATAAAAAAAAAATGGCTAAAAACCCCACCAAAAAAGTTTACGTACACTCGTCATCTCTCTGTTTCTTTGGAATTTCCCTTCCAAATCTAACGGTGTTCGTGAATTCTTCCTTCAGTCTACTTCTGATGCTTCCCTTTTTATCCATTTTAAGTTCATTTAATTTGATTTTGCTGGAGTGAGAGGTCAAGATGGGTCGAGGAAGCTAAATTCCACTTGAAACGCTTAAATTTATTTTAAAACATTATTTGGAAGGAAAAGAACTCGTGCTATTGGCAGGATGCTTTAGAGGCCTCCATCCAGCGTGTAAACTAATATTAATTCCTACGGGAACTCTGGAACCTTCAAAGTAAAGCCAAGATTAGGTCGTCCCAAAAATTGACCGATAGGTGTGAACGCCAAATCCTGGGCTCAGTAAATGCCAATCCTAAAAATTCAGCACCAAAAATACAAAATGCAAAACAGTTCAGCCTCAAACTGTACGAAATGTGCTCCACAAGGAGGGGTACAACACACGAACACCTCGTAGAAAGGCTTTGATTTCCTTGGTAAATCGAAAAAAGAGGCTGGATTTCGCATACAAATATGTAAACGAGCTGGTGAGTCAAAATGTAATATTTTTGGTTCAGATGGCTCCCAAAAAATAAGGATGAAGTTTAAAAAATTAACACCAAACGTTAAGCGTGGCGGCGGTAACGTGATGGTCTGAGGGTGTGTTGGGACAGCTGGAGTTGAGAAACTTGTGTTTATAAACACTACAATGAACAAGCATCTATACCTCAAAATTTTAAAGGATAACCTTAAGGACAGCGCGACCCAGCTCCAGTTGAATGAGACTACATTTCTTTTTCAACAGGACAACGACCCTAAACACACCTCCTATTTGGTCAACGAGTGGCTACTCTACAACTGCAAGCAATTGCATACACCTCCACAGTCTCCAGATCTCAATTCCATTGAGCACGTTTGTAATTTGTTAGATAAAACGCTCAGAAAACACCAAATATAGTCAAAAAGAATGGGAAAAAATTGAAAAAAAGGTGTACTTAAACTTTGTATACCTTTGCAGAAAGTATTATGATTTCAGTCAAAAGTTTGCAACGCAGTGAAGGAGACATTGCCGACCCTATAAAGTATATATATTCTTGATCAGCATCACCAGGAGAGTCGATCTGGCCATATCCGTCTGTCTGTCCGTTTCTTCGCAAACTAGTCCCTCAGTTTTAAAGCTATCTGCTTAAAACTTTCCCAAAAGTTGTCTTTCTATTGCAGGTAGTATATAAGTCGGAAAAGCCGGGCGACTATATCATATAGCTCCCTTAGGAACAATCGGAAAAAAAAATCAAACAAAATTAGAACTTTGTTGTTTTTAATTTTTTTTTTGTTATTTGGGATTTGGTAATATTTAAATATTATGAAATGATGGTTTTAATTATGTTAAAATGGACAACAATATCATATAGCTGCACTAGAAAGGATGTCAAAATGCAGTGCAAAATGGACATATTGTTTTTGGTAATATGGGCTTAAAAATCGAAAAGTAGTCGATTTGTAATAACTGCAAGGGTATATAAACTTTGGCTTGCAGAAGTTTGCTTCCTTTTTTGTTTGAAGTATTTTTACGATTTGTTTTTATAATCTTGTTATTTTATATAAAATATGGAAACAAGAAGACTTTTATGTTCTAAAAATTTATAACCTACCAAACGGAAATGATTTGAAAATTGTACCTGTTTTAGTTAATATCGTTTTGAGTACTTTAAGTTGCACAACTATGGTGTACTTAAACTGTTTTTGTCCACTGTATGTACATATGGACCTCAACTTACTCGGTATCAAGTTGTTATCAATTTTAAAGTTAATTTGCCGATGGTATCAACAAATCTTAGAAGCAGGTACAGTGGCTTACAGTTTATTTCATGCAGATATTTATGTATGCATATACTTAAATACATTTTAAAGTGTGAATGTTTTTTAGTCCTATATGTCCTATAGTCCTAAAAATACTTGTTTTTGTACATAGAAATTGCACAATTTTATTGCTGTAAATAACATTTAAAGACTGCTACCCAGATTGATGAAATCTGTTCGGCAGCTATGAGAGAGCGAGAGGCAAACAGCTGGCGATCACATTTCGTCAGTCCTTTTGTGCTCCTCGTTACCCATACAGCCTAGTATCCAGATCGACAAAAACCGTACGCCAGTCATGAGAGAGAGCGAGAGGCAAACAGCTGGCTTTTACTTTTCGTCGGGCCTTTTTGTCAAAAATACCAGAAAATTGCATAGCGTTGCCAGTCTGCGGAAATGAACTTTGGGTGAACCCTAGCGAAAAGATTAAAAAATTTAATCTTTTGGCGTGCGCTTCTCACTGACCATTATAAGATATGGAGAGAAAAACTCAAAAAACTCGGAAAAGTCGATTGCAGGAGTTTACATGTGAGGACAAAATAACATTAATACTATCTGGGGTGCCTCTTGTCAGATCAAAATGTTTTTTAGGTCAAGAATGTACGAAAAAACACAATAAAAGTGCAGCTATGAACTTTAAATTAGCATATAATTATCAGTAAATTAAAAAAAACAACTTTTAAATTTAAATTGTTTTGTTTTTTAATTTCTTTGTACAGCGGCAGACTTGTCTTGCCAAGGTATTTGATAATATTTTTTAAAGGCTCCTTCCCGCAAATACGATATTTGAATTTTAACTGCTTGTCAAGAAACCCAGCTGATTGACAGTACGACCGCTGCACGCTTAAATCTGATGATCTCTCGAAATTTTGGTAACACTGGAAAGATTAAAGTTTTTACGCTAGCATACTCGTTTGTCGATCTGAGTACTAGGCTTAAGCCCAATGTGGACAGGATAATCGTTAGTTGACTCGATAGGCAAATAGGGGGCAGTGTGTAGAGCACATTAATAGATTCTAACTCGATGGTCCAGCTGAGGATAACTTATATTTCCTAGAAAGATTTTCAAGTTTTCTCCGTAAACCTTTCCAGGAAAAGGTTTAATCCAGCTTTTCTATGTTCTTGGCCATTATATTTATTTTTAAAAGTAGTTATATAAAGTTGTACAAGACTGTGTGAAATAGCTTAAGACAAAAACTTTGTCATTAACTGTAGAAGGTAATTGTTTCTATTTCTAACTTTATTATGTTCAATTATATACATTTTTCAGCTCTCTAGTATATACTTCATGATTGGGTATTATGTGAATCTACTGACAGCAAGCAATAATATCGTACTGCAGTGGAAAATACCCTTAATGAGAATCGATTCAAAAACTTAATTTTAATCGATAGGAGGCTGCTTTCCTTAACTATTTTAACAATATACAAAGTTTGAATATTATTATGGACATTGAATTGCCGTATGTAGTGGAATATGCCAAAAGTGGGAGAGCCTCTTGTAAAGGATGCAAATGTTCGATTCCCAAAAATAGCCTTCGCATCGCTGTTATGGTTCAAGTAAGTTTCTATAGTGGCAGGCATATCTCAGCGTAATCAAGTAAGATTAAAAACAAACTCTACTGAATTTACGCGGGCTTTTAGTTAAAATTTGTTTGATCTCCGTATTGGCACAACCATATCTACACAAACATGCATACCCATGAAATATACTTTTACAGTGGACCAAAAAGTTTAAGTACTTTTCATACCTCAGTGCTTTTTGTAAAAAATATGTATTGAGACTTATCAAAATAATAATAATTAATAAACTTAATCTTTAGGATTTCGAATATACAATTATATATACTACGTCACTCCTTCGTGAACATTATATTCACAGAAATAAAAAAAAAATGGCTAAAAACCCCACCAAAAAAGTTTACGTACACTCGTCATCTCTCTGTTTCTTTGGAATTTCCCTTCCAAATCTAACGGTGTTCGTGAATTCTTCCTTCAGTCTACTTCTGATGCTTCCCTTTTTATCCATTTTAAGTTCATTTAATTTGATTTTGCTGGAGTGAGAGGTCAAGATGGGTCGAGGAAGCTAAATTCCACTTGAAACGCTTAAATTTATTTTAAAACATTATTTGGAAGGAAAAGGAACTCGTGCTATTGGCAGGATGCTTCAGAGGCCTCCATCCAGCGTGTAAACTAATATTAATTCCTACGGGAACTCTGGAACCTTCAAAGTAAAGCCAAGATTAGGTCGTCCCAAAAATTGACCGATAGGTGTGAACGCCAAATCCTGGGCTCAGTAAATGCCAATCCTAAAAATTCAGCACCAAAAATACAAAATGCAAAACAGTTCAGCCTCAAACTGTACGAAATGTGCTCCACAAGGAGGGGTACAACACACAAACACCTCGTAGAAAGGCTTTGATTTCCTTGGAAAATCGAAAAAAAAGGCTGGATTTCGCATACAAATATGTAAACGAGCTGGAATCATTTTGGGACATCGTTATCTGGAGTGGTGAATCAAAATGTAATATTTTTGGTTCAGATGGCTCCCAAAAAATAAGGATGAAGTTTAAAAAATTAACACCAAACGTTAAGCGTGGCGGCGGTAACGTGATGGTCTGGGGGTGTGTTGGGACAGCTGGAGTTGGGAAACTTGTGTTTATAAACACTACAATGGACAAGCATCTATACCTCAAAATTTTAAAGGATAACCTTAAGGACAGCGCGACCCAGCTCCAGTTGAATGAGACTACATTTATTTTTCAACACGACAACGACCCTAAACACACCTCCTATTTAGTCAACGAGTGGCTACTCTACAACTGCAAGCAATTGCATACACCTCCACAGTCTCCAGATCTCAATTCCATTGAGCACGTTTGTAATTTGTTAGATAAAACGCTCAGAAAACACCAAATATAGACAAAAGAATGGGAAAAAATTGAAAAAAGGTGTACTTAAACTTTGTATACCTTTGCAGAAAGTATTATGATTTCAGTCAAAAGTTTGCAACGCAGTGAAGGAGACATTGCCGACCCTATAAAGTATATATATTCTTGATCAGCATCACCAGGAGAGTCGATCTGGCCATATCCGTCTGCCTGTCCGTTTCTTCGCAAACTAGTCCCTCAGTTTTAAAGCTATCTGCTTAAAACTTTCCCAAAAGTTGTCTTTCTATTGCAGGTAGTATATAAGTCGGAAAAGCCGGGCGACTATATCATATAGCTCCCTTAGGAACAATCGGAAAAAAAATCAAACAAAATTAGAACTTTGTTGTTTTTAATTTTTTTTTTGTTATTTGGGATTTGGTAATATTTAAATATTATGAAATGATGGTTTTAATTATGTTAAAATGGACAACAATATCATATAGCTGCACTAGAAAGGATGTCAAAATGCAGTGCAAAATGGACATATTGTTTTTGGTAATATGGGCTTAAAAATCGAAAAGTAGTCGATTTGTAATAACTGCAAGGGTATATAAACTTTGGCTTGCAGAAGTTTGCTTCCTTTTTTGTTTGAAGTATTTTTACGATTTGTTTTTATAATCTTGTTATTTTATATAAAATATGGAAACAAGAAGACTTTTATGTTCTAAAAATTTATAACCTACCAAACGGAAATGATTTGAAAATTGTACCTGTTTTAGTTAATATCGTTTTGAGTACTTTAAGTTGCACAACTATGGTGTACTTAAACTGTTTTTGTCCACTGTATGTACATATGGACCTCAACTTACTCGGTATCAAGTTGTTATCAATTTTAAAGTTAATTTGCCGATGGTATCAACAAATCTTAGAAGCAGGTACAGTGGCTTACAGTTTATTTCATGCAGATATTTATGTATGCATATACTTAAATACATTTTAAAGTGTGAATGTTTTGTAGTCCTATATGTCCTATAGTCCTATAGTCCTAAAAATACTTGTTTTTGTACATAGAAATTGCACAATTTTATTGCTGTAAATAACATTTAAAGACTGCTACCCAGATTGATGAAATCTGTTCGGCAGCTATGAGAGAGCGAGAGGCAAACAGCTGGCGATCACATTTCGTCAGTCCTTTTGTGCTCCTCGTTACCCATACAGCCTAGTATCCAGATCGACAAAAACCGTACGCCAGTCATGAGAGAGAGCGAGAGGCAAACAGCTGGCTTTTACTTTTCGTTGGGCTTTTTTGTCACGTCGCTACTCAGATCGACGAAAAAAATACCAGAAAATTGCATAGCGTTGCCAGTCTGCGGAAATGAACTTTGGGTGAACCCTAGCGAAAAGAGAGCGTGCGCTTCTCACTGAACATTATAAGAAATGGAGGGAAAACTCAAAAAACTCACAAAAGTCGATTGCAGGTGTTTACATGTGAGGACAAAATAACATTAATACTATCTAGGGTGCCTCTTGTCAGAGCAAAATGTTTTTTAGGTCCAGAATGTACGAAAAAACACAATAAAAGTGCATCTATGAACTTTAAATTAGCAAATAATTATCAGTAAATTAAAAAAAACAACTGTTAAATTTAAATTGTATTGTTTTTCAATTTCTTCGTACAGCGGCAGACTTGTCTTGCCAAGGTATTTGATAATATCTTTTAAAGGCTCTTTCCTGCAAATACCCAGCTGATTGACAGTACGACCGTAGCACGCTTAAATCTGATGAACTCTTAAAATTTTGGTCACACTCGAAATTTTAAAGTTTTTACGCTAGCGTAATCGTTTGCCGATCTGGATACTAGGCTTACCGACGGAAAAAATACTAGAAAATTGAATAGCGTTACCAGTCTGCTGAAACGAACTTTGGGTGGATATTCGCCAGGCCCTAGCGAAAAGGTAAAAAAATGTAATCTTTTGAGGCGTATGTTTTCGGGGAAGAGTGTTTCTTAGATAAAAATTAGAAAATAATTTTCAGTGAACTAAAAAAAACAACTTAAATATAAAGTGTATGGTTTTCCAATTTCTCTGTACAGCGGCAGACTTGTCATGCTAAGGTTATTGTGAATATCCTTTTAAGGCTTTTTCCCGTAAGCAAGGTATTTGCATTTTAACGGTTTGTCAACAAACCCAGCTGATTGACAGTACGACCGCATCACAATCAATTCTGATAAACTCCAAAATGCTGTTACACCAAAAGATTAAAGTTTTTCGCTGGCGAACTCGTTTTACGATATGTATTTATCGGCTTGTTTCATGTAAATCTTCGCTTGCATTTAATTATCATTGGATACACAATTGAGTATTTTCTGGATATTTCAACTTGTTTTTTAGCGCTACAAAAATTAATTTTGGAAAACTATTTTCGCGCACCACTGAAATTTTAGCTTGAACACAAAAAAAAATCTCTGCGTACACCCCAAAAAAAATTCAAAATCGATCTTTAAACCCTAGCTGTTCGGCCATTTATGCATATATTAAACCCATTCGTTTTTTAAACATAATTGTGTTCATTGACGTATTTTTTTAAAAGTTATTCAACAGTGACTTATATATTGTTTTTAATTTTAAACTTAACACTACTAAAAAATGTACCCGCAAAAGTCTGCGTACACCTATTTTAAACATAAATAATATTATTTTTAGTAACTGGTAGGGTATCCTTTTCTCTGCAAAACTTCCGTGAGGCGTCTCGGCATGGAATCCACAAGTTTTTTTGGCTCATCTGCAGTAATTTTCCCCCACTCTTCCAGAATCACATTCTTGAGCATTTTTATACCCTTGCAGAGGGTATTATAATTTTGGTCAAAAGTGTGCAACGCAGTGAAGGAGACATCTCCGACCCTATAAAGTATATATATTCTTGATCAGGATCACCTCCTGAGTTGATATAGCCATGTCCGTCTGTCCGTCTGTCCGTCTGTCCGTCTGTCCGTCTGTCTGTTTCTACGCAAACTAGTCTCTCAGTTTTAAAGCTATCGGATTGAAACTTTGCACACACCCTTCTTTCCTTTGCACGCAGTATATAAGTCGGAACGGCCGGGATCGGCCGACTATATCCTATAGCTGCCATATAACTGATTGATCGGAAATGCCATAACTTTCGAGTTTGTAAAGTTAGGAAGTTGGGATTTTCTATGGGTTTTATATTTGGCCAATCAATCCGACCTACCAAATTTCATAAGGATCGGCCGACTATATCCTATAGCTGCCATATAACTGATTGATCGGAAATGCCATAACTTTGGTGTTTGTAAAGTTAGAAAATTGGGATTTTCTATGGGTTTTATTTTTGGCCAATCAATCCGACCTACCAAATTTCATAAGGATCGGCCGACTATATCCTATAGCTGCCATATAACTGATTGATCGGAAATGCCATAACTTTGGTGTTTAAAGTTAGAAATTGGGATTTTCTATGGATTTTATTTTTGATGTGACTATAGGAATGCAAAT